CTTGTTGTATAAATTTTGTATTCTTATTTTTTTTTTATTGTTGTATTCGCTGCCTTGCTTTTCAGCTTTGCTGACCAAACCGTCGCGTTTGCTTGTTCGAACACAACTGAAGCACGAGATGCGCACTCTTTCGGTTTTTATGAATGAAATTCAACATTTGCTCCAACTGGCCGCGCGCACACACACATGCACACACGTATATGCTTATACGTAGAATGTGGCGGCTGCCGGCTAGCATTGCCCCTACGTGGCGGCACGCGCCCCAAATGCTGAAATTCGAACATGCTTTTCGAACTTGCTGGCTGGGGAACTTGTGCACACGTCACAGCCAACTGAGCACACATACACACACGAACACACCAGCATACAAAAACACACATACAGGTGCAGAGAGCAGCAGACCGGCCGGTCGGGTCCAATCGTATGCTCCGTTACCTCCCTACTGTTCAGCCATTTTCGTGCTGCTTGGGCCGGCGCAAGCGCACTGCAGCCAATCAACAGTTTGCCGTAGATGTTTGTATATTTGTGTGTGTGTGTATGTTGTGTTTGCCTGCTGTGGTGAATTCGTTCGATCTCACAGACAGCTGCTTGTGTATGTGTGTGTGCGAGTGTGCGTGCTCTCCCTCTCTCTTGGGCTTTGAGGTAAAAATAAGACAACAGGTACCGAGCGCGTCCCAGCGTCCGGCCCCAGTTACCGCCGCCAGTTTGATATTTCACACATCGCGTCTATATAGTCCCAACACATATGTACTATGTATTTATGCATGTGTGCATGTGTGTGTGCGAGTGTTGGCAAATGTTATGATTTCCCAAAATACGTCATCAGTCCGTGAACAATTTTTGCGCTCATATGGCCCATTAGTATTGGCCTTTTGCGTAAACACACAGGCAGGCAGGCATTGCAAATTTAAACAAATGATTCAGTTGACCATTTATGGACTGATTTTCGGTGACTGTGGCGTTATTTGTTGAACCAACATAGACAATCTACTATATACATGTAGTATATGACCAGAGATTCAGGTGTTAAACGGAACTGTGGCAAATTATTGAATTGCCGATTTTTTAGTCGAAGTTTCATGGAATGCGAACAGACCGCTTTGGCTACTAATTAATAGCTTAAGAAATATCAACTATAAGTTTATTGACCTATTAGGAATCAATTGTTAACTATAAATTGTTAATAAGTGAAGCAAATTGCGAGATTTAGAAATATTATTTGTTTATATAAACTTTGTGAATTAGAAGTTTTAAATAAATATAATCTTTCTATGGTCGGCCTTCTGCCAAGTTGTAATTCAAGTTTTGTTGTTTAATTGAATAATTTGTATATTTCCAGCCTCTCCAGACACATTGATGAGTTTATGATAAATTAATTTTTTGCACCTCGTATTTTTTTTGAAATGAAGGCGAATGTTGTCGGTCTTACATATATACGAGTATCTAAAGTATATCGCCTTTTGCATATATAGTATGTATAGTATTTCAAACTAAATGTCAAAACGTCGTGTTATTTCAATGAAGATTGTTTTTGCTGAACATTCCAAATAAATTTGAGTGTTAAATTTCAAATTGAACTCAAGTGTGCAAAACAATTATTACTCAACAAACAACACTGTGCTGTTTTCTATAAAGTAGCAGGCAGTTAGAAATATTATTATTATAAAATTTGAATTTAAAATTGGAATATTTATATATTAGAAACCATTATTTATATATCCAAATAGTTTGAAAGCTGTTATTATTAGGGCTTTGATTCTAGCTTTTATATTTGAGAAGGAACGGATGAATGGAATCATAAATTGTAATTTCTTTCTCATAGCAGTTGATGACTGAACTTAATTTCTCGATGTTACTGATAATAACGAATTTATAAGTGTCTCTCTGATGTTCTAAAATACAGTTGTTGAAAATGAAGAATTACAACTAACAACAATCGATTATCATTTGAACAAGTAACACATAGATTTGATGGTCAGCTCTTTCTGCTTTCTAATTATTGTTGCAAGATGAGTATATAGTAGAGTATAATCATGTTCCTATTTATGCAACAATCTGCCCAACTCTTTATATAGTTTGAAGATCATAATAGCTTAGATGTTGATTGTTGGCATTCAATATTTAAAGCCCATCCCAAAGCCAAGCCCAAGCCATTGCAAATTTTCCGTCTCTGTCTTGAGACGCGCGCCATTTTCTAGCGCCGACTGATGTCCATCTATGGAGCTGCTGGTTGTCGGCTGCTGAGTATTTTATTATTGTTGCTGACTGGCATTTGTATGTTTACAAGCAGTATACACTATATATATACAAAACGTTGTTCTTCTGTTCTTGCTTTCGTCACCGCATACGTGCCAACTGCAAACAGTAAACACAAATCGGCAGCGAAATAAAAAAAAGAGAAAAATCGGCCAAGACAGCGAACAACAACCACCCACCCAACGCATTTATAGTGGCAAGCGATTTTATTTTTAGTTAGCGCGCGTAGCCAACAAATCGTGGGTGTCAGGCAGGGGCTGGGCTACCACTACCACCAATAACAACAGCAACAACAAAACGACGCCAACGCAGCCGCCGCTGCACAGCTGATGGTTCAGCTATGAATGTACTCTATAGCTGGTGTGCGTGTGTAGGTGTGTGTGTGTGTGTGTGTGTGCCTTGCACTTGTGCACCATTTGCTGCTCTTCCTTTGTTTACAGCAATTCGTCAACAAATCTTTGGGGCATCTATAAGCAGTTCGAACAACATCTAAATACACTGATAGAAAAGGCTTGGAGTTCTAATATCAAGTCTGCATTCTAACTTGAAATTAATTGAGAATGAAAATCACTCCGAGCATGAATTATAATTTAAATTTAGTAGAGGCAAACATGATCATTGAGGTTTTTAAGTAGTCTACCTTAAAAAATGTAAATATGAAGTGGATAGAGAAAGGAATCTAAATTATAGATCCAGTATACAAGCGAATGCGTTCAGTATCTTAGCTGCTTTTCGTACTTTGCAGAAGTACATATGTTTAATATTTGCTTGATCAAATCAATATACACATCACACTGAAGTACTTTGATCCCAGCTTGCTAAAGTAATCCATTTAGTTAGAAAATGCGAATACATATTGATCTTGGGACAGAATAACGACTGGAAGCATTATTCCTACAAAAAAATCGCAATTAATATTTTTGCACCTCATTTGAGGGTCAACTTTCCAAAAAATCACACGAAACTTTGATCATCGATTGCAAGTCAAGAGAACAGTCAGTCAATAAGTAAGACAGCCAGAGAGTAAGTTAGGGAAGGAGTTCAAAAAAGTTTCTTGGGATTGAGAGAAGCAGTGTCGATATTTTTGCGCTGTGTAGGGACATCATTTTCTAAATTTAATTGCAGGCTGCATCTAATTATAGACTTCGCAAATATGGCCAACATTTTTCCGAGCATTTCTTTGCCCGACGTCATTGTCGCTTCTCGCTGTTCGTGTGCCTTTGTGTGTGTGTGTGTGTGTGTGTGTATGGGTGAATCAAATTAGTTATTTTTGGCTGACTGGCGTAATGAATTTTCATTTTCAATAGTGGCGCGCGTGTGTCCACAGGTGGTAGCAACAACAACAACAAAAACAGCAACTGCTGCTCACCTTCACCTACGAAACAAACATAATAAACAAATATCGAGGCAGGCACACACTCTCACAGAAACGGACACAGACACCGCTACAGATACACTTTTTATAGCGTATAGCGAAAAAATCATGTGAAGGTTAAAAATAGTTGGCGCTTTTCATTGCTGTTGTTCTAGCTGTTGTTGGTTTAGTTGTTCTTCTTGTTGTTGTTGTTGCTGGCAAACTTTCACGCAATGAGGCAAATTTCTATTTTAGTTCGGCGCAATGTATCTGAGAGATAAACAAACTGCGTAGCTCATCGATATATGAACGCACGACCGCACGTCCGTTTATGAACCTTGCCAACAACTGCCATGGAAAATTTAGGCCATATACTATCTGGTGAGTTGATTTGCCTGCCGGCTGGCTAGTTGGCTAGCTGGCTGGCTAGCCACCTCATGGCCAAAACGCGTGCCAATCCACCCCCAAAAGTGCAGGCAGTGCTTTCATTTCCGCTCCCTCCCCCCTTCCCCCTCCTAGACAAAAGCACAAAAGATTGCATTCCATTGGCAATGTTTCAATAATCATCAGCAGTTTGTTCGTTGCCCGCTTATGTGGCATTTTGTTTATGTTGCGGTCAGTTTTTACAGCATTGTTCGAGTTAATAATACAAGTATGTAGTTGCTATTGTTGTTGCAGCTGTTTATGCTATTCACGAGCAACCTTGTCCTTAGCACATGAAAATGTTTGTTTATAATTTTTTCGGAAATGTGTCGGAAATTTGAAAATCTTGCTAGACTAATGTGGAAAATTGTAAATAAAATGAAATATTTGACAGCATTTGTTGCTTCTTGGAGTTTTTCAATTGTAAAATTGCATCCATATATACTCATAGATATATGAAAATCAAGCGTAGGCAGAGCGTATGCGTAATATTTTAAACATGTCATTCATTAAAAAGACACTCAATAATGTAATATTTTTGCATATTTTGAAACATAAATGGATTAGCTGGCGCCGAAATGGAAAAGTAATATATATATTATTTCCAATGCCCATAAGAAATCTCTTGAAAGACTTGAGAAAATGCTAAAACTTTAAAAAAGTGGACCTGAGGACTTGCAAGGTATTGTAATCTAAGAGTTTCGCCTTAATTGGAATTAACTTGATTGCTTCAGCAGCTCAGTTTATGGAGACTTAGCCAAATCTGTAATAAATAGATCTATTCTATTATGATTTTGATTATAACGTTTTCGTTTAAATCTTTAATTTATGTGATATTTCTTGAATAAGCTGGCATTTAACATGAGACAAATGGAGAAAATATATTGAAATGTTAAGTCTATCACAGACTAAATGGAATAGCCAAGCTTTATAATAGTTTTCAAAAATAAACAGAGCTGCTAACTTTGCTCGAACACTCGAAAGTTTTATGGACACTTTTGTTTAGTACACATTTATAGAACTTTACAAAAACAAATAATTGTATTACACATTAAATTGAGGAATGGATGCGTTGGACTTTTTGGAAACTCCAATTAGCACGGGCGTAAGTTTGGAAAGTTCTTCTCTTTGCCTAAACTGACTATGGCTTTGTTTAAAGACCACAATAATGGCCGTGGAGTTTGAAGGTGGCGTCGTTATTGGCGCTGATTCGCGCACCAGTGCCGGCAGCTTTGTGGCCAATCGGGTGACGGACAAACTCACTCGCATTACGGATCACATCTATTGCTGCCGCAGTGGCTCGGCAGCCGACACACAGGCTATTGCCGATATTGTGGCCTATTCGCTGGACTACCACGAGAATCAGACCGGGCAGCCGGCTACAGTGCTCGAGGCTGCCTCCGAGTTTCGCAATTTCTGCTACAACTATCGGAGCTCACTGCTAGCTGCCATGATTGTGGCTGGTTGGGATGAGAAGCTTGGCGGCCAGGTCTACAGTGTGCCATTGGGAGGGATGTTGGTGCGCGAGGCTTGCGCCATCGGTGGATCTGGCTCATCCTATATTTATGGATTCGTTAAGGAGCACTACAAGCCTAACATGCCACTGGAGGATTGTGTTGAATTCGTGAAAAAAGGTGGTAACATGCATTTTCATAGTTGCTCTTTAAATGAAGATTTTATTTCCAGCTGTAAAACATGCTATTTTTCGAGATACTGCCTCGGGGGGCGTAGTGCGCATTGGTATTCTTACCAGGGAAGGTTTTGAGCGTCGCTTGTTCTTTAACACAGAATCTGGCGAATCGGTGGTACAGAATACGCTCGAATTGAAAGTGGAATAAGAATTTGGCAGAAGTTTAAATAAATTTAGAGTGAAAGGTGACAATTTTTACCAAATACATTCCAATGTATTCTAAATGTTGCGCCAACTTTTGATCGTTTTTCAAATCGCATAAGTTATACTTGTATTATTACAGAGATTTATATAGGATTTAGCCCATCTTATTCTTGCGAAAATTATGTGAAAACTTATAATTCATTGAGTTGGAAACTCTACAGTTTTAGAACACAAGCAACAGAGCTGCATTGACATCTTTCATTGAAAAGTCTGAGTTCGTTTAAGAGTTAAGAACATTTTTAAAAATACATAAGTACTTGATTCTTTTGATGGAGTTGGATTTTAAGGTTCGTTATAATATAAAATGGTTTAAAAATGCAAATGGAAAAATATTTGACTCCTTTGCAATAAAACTAAATGAAAATCAATTTATACAGTTTGTCAACCTTTTATATTTTATTTATTTTTTATTTATTTATTTTGTTGAATTGAAAAAGTAGATAATGAGAATTGCTTGAGTCATTGTGTAACTTTGAAGTTAGATGATTCGATAGTTCATACTTTTTGTTCAATAATATTTACCTTGGGTATGATGTAAATAGCAGTGGAACAAGCCTAAGAAGCGCACACACCTCTTCCGCCACAATTAGGCGGCTGACTGAATTCAAAGTCTGACTGGCTGACTGACTAGCTGACTAACTGACTACTGTGCGCACCCATTTGCAACGAACAAAATTTGCTTATAGAGTCACATTAAAACCAAATAATCAAAGTTTACTGGCGTTATAATCTGCCAAGTGTGTCAGACGATGTGTGGGTTTGTCGTTATCGAGAACATGCATAGCGAGAACGTTGCGTGGGTCAGTGTGGACAGAGCCAAGACGAAGACCGAAGACGAAGACGAATACGAGGGCACTGCTGATGGTGATGGTGATGGCGATGGCGATGTTGATGGCGATGGTGTTGGGGATGGTGACGACTCGACAACGACAACAACAACAACGACAACGACGAGGCATGCAGAGGCGTTAGATAGTCACAAGTCGCAAGTCGCTTGACACATGGCACGCGCCTCAAAAACCACAACGAACAAACAAACAAACAAAACACACATACAAGTATGCACAAGTAAATGCAAATCTACAAAGGTACAGTTAAACACCATTTTGAGGAAAACACAATAAATGGAAAGTAAATCGAAATGATGAAATATTTAGTGTTGAATAATGTTAGCATCATAAATAGAGCTTCAGGAAAAAAAGACGTTGCGGTATGAAGCTATAAAATGTAATCATCAGTCTACTCTTGTTCATTAGCAGCTCCTGTTTATGGGAAATTATATTTCATTCCGTCTATATGTGTACTTATATCCTTTCATAGATGTAGTGTTTTCTTCTGATAATTAAAAGACTCTATAACTCCATATTGTCGCTTAAAGGACTTGTTATAATTTCGAGTACAAGTAGTAGAGTTGTTGGTTAATCAAAATCATTTCAAAAGGAAGAAAGTTAAATTTTAAGCTGGAATGAATTAAATAAATAAATATTGAACCTAAAAATGGTTGCTAATCCGCTGAAATAGTAATAACAATAGTTGTACAGAGTAGTGCTGTGCACAAAGCTTTAGCAATGGTATTGTTAATCACAAAAAGAGGAGATAAACAATTTGTTTTGATTTCTTTAAGTAACAAATTGCCATAGAAAATATAATTTATGATAGTTTGGCTCTACACTTATTAGTTAATTGTATGAATGGAATTGTACATACATATGTACATATGTACATATATGTATACATGTATGAATGCGAGCAGCCAATGCCAAATAGGCTGCTTGAAAGACTGCTAGACAGAAGGACAGGCGGACTGAATGACTGAATGAGTGACAGTCACAAGGCAAGGTCCGCTTGCCATAAATGGTGAAAACTTTTGTTAGGGCAAACAACTTGGTTGTGTGTACGTCTTTTCGTTTGTATCTGTGTAGTGTGTGTGTGTGCGTGTGTGTGTGTGTAGGTTGTAATTAAAAGCGTATTGATTGCATGCTTGGGCTTGCTTCAGCCAACTGCATGCAACTTGTTTGGACCGTGGGTTATGGCCATCTCGCTCGCACCCGACAAATCACTTCATTCGTCGTTAAGTTACTTCACTCAGATGTGAGCAGCTGTGGGGCCGACGCGTCGCTTAGCTTTCAATTGGAAATCTATGAGTTATAGTTGCTGTTGATGTACAAGTTGTTATTGGTCGTTGGCAGCGGCACTTGAGTTGTTTTGCGCGCCCTCTTAACCATAGTCATAACTACAACAACAATGAAAGCGCGTGTTTATTATTGTTTTACTTGGCAACTACCAATCGGCTCTTGTAAATTCCCTTATCAGAGGGGGCACTTGACTCTCGAGCATTTTCAGTTGAAGAATTACGCAAGTTTTGTTTTCTTTTTCCAAACCGTCGACTTCATTTTTATATACTATATAGTATCTGTACATGTATTCGTTTTTTTTTATTTAATTGCTGTGAGTGGGCGGGCGTCTTCAAGTTTTGTGTCAATGAGTGACTGGAGCGAGTGAGGTGTGAATAAATTTATTTATACATAATATAGCCATATAGTCCATCCATATGGTCTACACACATATACATACGAGCACAGTACAAATCTGCAGCTCTCGCAAACGCTTTGATAATGCTTAAATATTTTTATTTTGTAAATTTATTTGGCCATCAGCTGGACAGACAGACACACAAATGTAGATTTTATGCACTCGAAAATATGAAACATTTTTTTTTTTGAAAAAAAAAAAAGATTTTATTCCGTTTTATTTATGAGCACCATAATATGCTTTATGTGTTTGGCATGTTGCCGTAAATTGTTGCAGTCAACAAAATATACATATATGTGTGTATGCCTATGAATATGGCGGCCATAAAAGAAACAACAGCAACCACAGTGAGACACAAATTAGAAATGTAAACAGCAGTATTATGGTGGAAAAATACATACATATAGCATCCCATATGCTCTACGTAGAATCATGTAGCAACTTATTAAAAGTGTTTTACATCCGCATAAATAAATTATTTAAAAAAATGTTGTGGAATTTCCCCAAAAATGTAAATGCTTAAATTTAATCAAATCGCGATTCCTTGTGAAAGCTTTCAAAATAATTTAACCCAACTAATATCAATTTTCGTACTTGAATCAATTTTATTAGCATTTAATAGTTAATTAACTAGTACAATTTCCTCATTAAATATAAATTAAATGTTTGTAGTATTTTTAATAACTCTTCAAGGTAGGCCGTTTGTTTGGTAACATGTTAAAGCTTAAAGACTACAGCCATTAGTTGAGTGAATAATTTTGAAAAGCAAATAGTTTGGGGAAAACTATAAGACATTCCTTAGAATTTTTGTTATTTTGTGCCTTTTAGCAAGAGTACTCAAAATCTCGTCTGTTCCTTTTTAAATTCATTCATTTGTTTGTGTCGTGTGAAAGCGTTTGCCACCCACAGCTGCTCTAATTTGTTGTCTAATTACAAAAAATAAGCATGGAAAATAACTCAATATGCCTTAATTGGTATAAGCGGCTCGAGTCTGTATAACATTTTGGTGAAAGTGGGTCAACAAATTACGCCAATAAAGTTGCAAGAAATAGCCAAACAAAAAATTGCTTAATTATTGTCAAGTGTACAGTTAGCGAAAAATATTAAAAAGGCAATGGAGAAGCCAACAACTTTTAAAGAGGATAAATGAAAAGATGAAAATATTTTCACGTTTCATAAATAGTTTCAAATGTTTGTTTTTTTTTTAAAGAAATAGACTCCAAATTGTTTATTTAATTTAATGTGAGGCTTTGAAGTAAAATAAATCAAAAACATTTGATTCATCGAAAGAAAGGGGAATGTCATTGAAAAAATAATAAGTATTTTTTCATTTCATTTAAAACTCCATTTAAAGCTCTTAAGGGGATATAAAGAATTTATTTTATGTATTTTAGTGATTACTTTGTTGCTCTCAATATGGTTAAATTTTTATTGCCATATTTACAATTAAATGTACTCTTAAATACGTTATAAAATGATTACTGATTCCTGAGTTTATAAACACATTCTTGCCTACTATATAGCTAGGTGTTGATCTGTGTGCCAAAAATAGAATTTATTCAATTAAAGAAAATATTCACACCATTTACAAGCTCTGACAAAACAATGCATGCATTTAATTAGCCACGAAAATAAACAAGAACGGAAAGAACGCTTTTCAAAATATCAGAGCATCAAAGACGTGCCCCTGCCCCACATAAATGCGCCCTTTGCCAAGTGTCTATATTTAAAACGCGTGCCTCACTGCACCAAATATAAAACATTTTTGTACGATGAGCATATCTAGAGGTAAAAGGCGGCCATCATTTGGCGGAGTGAGCGCCGAGATTGACAGCAGCCGCTTGCCGAGAAATTTACTAATATATATATACACACATACTATTACATACATACTATTTACATATATAGACTCATATTTTGCACTAATCAGCTGGCATGGCGAGCGTCAGCGTGTGCCGTTCTGCCCACGACCTGGGTCTGCCCTCTTCCTGCCCTCTGCCAATACAATATTTTGTTTAGACAGACGAACGGCGAACGGGAATCATTCCTAAATTGGCAGAGCATCGTCATCGCCGCATGTGTTCTGTTCAGAAACTGCCGGCTCTGGTTCTCTTGTGTCCAGTGTGTCGGGAGGTCTACAGCTTGGCCGTACTTGGTCAGGGCTGCGGCTCTCAGACGTCAGCTGCGGCAAATAAACAATTAACCCATTTGTGTCAGTTTCTCAACTCTCACATGTAAAGCGAAGGACCAGAGGGTTTAATATTACAACACGCTTTTCCATTTGAATAGCTATTTAATTAACATTTTAAACAAACTACGTATAAATACGTAGATGTATATAGAAAAAATATCGACAAAGCTTACATTAATAGTACAAGTATGTTGACCTCATTTGCTTCCAGAAGCAAAATAAGGCGAAAATACTTGTGATCAGGGACCGAATTATGTTTCTATTTTCTTTTCCTGA